AAAATCATGTTTCGCGGGATCAGCCAAAACTGCAACCAATGATCCCAGCCGCTTCGCCAACCGTGATAAGCGCAGCCACGTGCTTGGCAAACGCGGTTGGTCACGAGCCTAGGGCTTGTGCCAAACTCAAGAAAAACAGCAATGTGTTCTGCGCGTCCTACTGGCTCAGAAATCGCGTCAAACAATTCGGGCTGTTGACAACAATTGTAGATGGGAAGCACAAAAATAGTTTGCTCTGCTCAGATTTCTCTTTGGTCCTCAAAAAAATCGGAAACTGGCGGGCAATGTGGGCCTTTTCCGAAAGTACGACCATGTAAACATATGAATATAATTGTTTCGGCTTGTTATAAAAGAATTCTGAAGAGATAGATTTGTAGTGTGTACATTTCTAATGCGGATAGAGCTTTACTTGGGGTCAACATGACCAGAACTGCTTGTGCTAGGTCAAGACGGAAAACGGCCAAATTTGTGATTATTTGTCATCAGCGCGTCGCGACTCTCCACATCCTCCTCATTCCACAAACAGTATTGGACATTCTAATAGCCAAAACATGTTGATTTAATCATCATTCACTCCTCAGACACCGTCCCGTCGCCAATTTTTGCCCTTTGCATCGCTCATGTCAAACTGCCCGATTTGGACATCAAGTTGAGAGCATGTTTTCTGGGCGACCAAAGCAGCTACCAACTTTATTTTTGCTGAGGAACCTTCTTGAAAAACGCTTCCGCATTCATCGAGCCCATAAAACCTGGGGATTCAAGCAAAAATGTATTCTGTCACCTCGAATTGATCTGGAAGGTTATCACTCAGAACTCTTGGTATAAAATGGGAACAATTGAGTTTCTTGCAAAAATAAATGGCTAGGATTGAGAACTAGTATCGAATGAAGAAATTTTCAGTTTACACCAAAGCAATCTGAACTACAATGGCAGAGAAATTCGCCCCCGAACACATGCCTTGTTTTCTTGAGTTTGTACCAAGCCTCTCTCCGAGATTGTCCGGCTTGCCGGACCGGAGACAGGCTTACTCCGAACCTAGCCCTCCACAAGCGGCCTCCGATCTCGTTATCATGCCCACGCATCAACACACGTGATCCAATTGATGGCGACCTCGGGCAAGTGCAAGGAGGGCAAATAAATCCGTTTGAGAGTGTCTACTGTACGGGCATGTATGGTTACAACGGTCACGTGCCATCACGCACCCGGACCACAACAACGTGTCCGCTGTGATGCGTGACGGTTGTTAAAGTTAACAACGCGGTCAAAGCGCTGGACGAATTTTTACCAAATTATTCCGATTTTTTTTGGTGTCACGCTCCGGATCCTAACAACCTACCCTACTAACTGCGTGACGCCACGCAGAATTAACAACACAACGACCCCTGCGTGATGCGTGACGTTGTAACCATACATGCCCGTACAGTATAGACATTTTTGACATGTATGAGGTTAGTTGGAGGATACAAAAAAAAATTCCTGAGGAGTTTGGTTGAAACTGAGGCATCACCGGATTTACATCCCAATTTGGCAGGAAGGCCTCTTTCACTCAGTGGAGCACGTTCTGGGACTGGTAACTTCTAGTAACTTTTATATCATAAAAGAAGGTCATCTGGAGTGTGTAAAACTATACTTCAAGGTTTGCATTGGCCGAGAGAGTGGCAAATGCTCTCGAACAAGTGTTTGATGGGGGCCAAATATTTGGGGGGGGGGGGGGGGGTCTCACGTGTTGATCGTAGTGGGTCTGATAACGAGATCAGAGGCCGCTTCGCCCTCCACACTTACTCGGGTATTACCGAAATTTTAGTCATGTCCCCATTTGGATTCCGGCCAATGTCTTCCTGCGACGGAGGGTTTCTGTAGGTGGTAGTTGAGTTCCCTACGCACTCTGCATGCCTCCAATTTTCCTCTGGTTCTATCTAGCCTTTGCTGTCATGTTTTGTTATTTTTTCTTATTGCTAATTAGTTCATTCACGGACCTGGAAAGAACCGGTTCGAGTATGGGTGTTTTCGGTGCATAAACTGACTCAAAAAGTTAAGGAGCTCGCGCTGAAATATCCTCCTATTTACAAATCTGAGCCATAGTCATAATTGAGAAATAATCGAATAAATGGCCCAAATTCCGTCTAGTTGTATTGTTTTTCCATTGCTTATTTAATTTCATACTGTTGTTGGATGTCATATAAACCCTACTGGGAAGGAGCCGAGTAAGAAGTCTCACTGTTTCGACAGGAGGGAAGGAAGCAGACCTCTTCATCCAGACCTCGGACATTCGGCCTTGTTTACACATGCCGGGGAATGTAGTGGAATCGCTGGTTAACCGGATGGCTCTCCATAACGCAGGAGTTTCCAGCGCTAAGCCTATGTCGTGCCATTTGCGATAGATCTGGGTAAGCCAGGTCGGCGAGTTAATTCCGGTAAGTGGTGGCGGACGAGGGTGAATAGGGAGGCAACAAATAAATATTTCCGAGACCATCTCAGGTGGCAGAGTGATGACCGGGTGCTTGTAGGCATCCAGCCTTTCCCGCAAGAGAGCCTGTTCTGTTCGCAACGAGGAGAGCAGGCATTCAAGATCTCGGATTCGTTCCTCTATGTCTGCGAGGGGAGACTGATCCGCTTCAAGTGAGTGGAGGATGAGGGGCTGAAGGGAGCACCAGACTGCTTATAGGGAAACAAGCAAGAAACAAGACTCAGCATTTATATAATGGAGCTTGCTGAGTGGTAAGTATGAACTTTCACGACGAGAACTCCGCACGTGGTACGAAAAAACGAGCGTAACGCAAGTTGCCGTCGAGCTGCGATCGAATTTTGAGAAGAGGACTGGAGATTGAGTGCATGAACTCGGGCGCGCAAAGTCGTCCACCAAAGCTGCCCACAGTTCCGCCTGGAGGATGTCGAGGGTGGCGAAAAAGACACGGTCCGCCACGCACCGCAGACCCTTGGCAGACTTGGCCTTTGCTTAGCCTTCATTTCCATGCGCTTTGACTTAGATTTCGAATCAAGAACGTTGGACACTGGAGCGCACTCGGGCTCTCTGGGGTCAACAATCAGCTCACAGCAAAGTCACTCCTCGCCTTTATGATCGGGCACTTGCCACTCGCCGCTGAACACCTCCACGGCCGCATGACCTACACATCGCGGGTCCGAAAAAAATCCAGCCAAAAAAGGATATTTGGCATGCCGTCTACCTCTGCCGCTGCCAGTGACTGTGTCAATGACCGCTTTCCATGCTGCCTCTGCGGTTTCGAAGGAAAACACGGATGCACCGGTCGGGCGTCTGCTCCTCGGTTTGATTCTGATTGAACAACGAGAGCGAAGTGGAAGGACCCGATTATATTCAAGGTATGCAGGATTGCGCTCAACTTTGCATTGCGTCACTCGGTAATAACTGATACACACTGCGTTCCCACCCCATGTAGACAGAGGGTCTGTCTACCCCCGTAGACGAAGAGTAGACAGACCCCTGTGTCTAGGTGTGTCTACACTGTTAATCTACCTACATCTACATTGGTCTACATCTGTCCACTCACCTAGACCGACGTAGACGCACATAGACATATGTACGGTATAACCAAAAGATGGCTTCCTCGTGAAGTTGAGCGAAGTGGGTCTACGTGCGTCTACAGCGTAGACACAGGTAGACCCACGTAGCCGACGGGTAGATGCGGTGCATCTACCCGATGTAGCCGAACGTAGCCGAAGATCAATCAACGGCGCCGAAGGGCCGTCATCTACACGGCGTAGATGTAAGTAGCCGAAGATCGCCGCATGTCAGCACATGTCAATCAACGTAGACGTGGGTACGTCTACATAGGGTGGGAACGCAGTGACAACAGTAATTATAGTAATCACCGCCAGCGCGCCCTTCTCAACGATCTATTTGATCTGAATATCGGATAGATGGGATGTACTCGTCCACGTATAAATATCGGTCAGTGCACGATTCCTACCGCCCGGGTCCTGATGATACAAATACCATCGAACACTGTACGAAGAGTCTACAAGGGGCGCGGTCCTATTTGACTGCTCTTAGCTGTTTCGTCTCGCCATATTCTAAGCTGTGATAATAATGTTCTTCCATCGTAAAGTTGACACTGATCATCTTTCGTATTTATAGTTTCTCGTATTTAATGGGAGGGAAGACGGTGCACACACCCCCACTTCTCAGGTTGCCCGGTCCTTCCGCCGATTTTGCATCTCTCATTCTTGCAAGCTGCTTTTATGGGATACTTATTGTTCTCTTCGTATCAACTATTTACTTTCTGGCGACGCGGCGTACACTTGCGGGCAAGACCTAAACAAGCAGACATCATTTTACCTCACTACCGTTCCTCGGAGTGACAGGCCTCTCCCTGATTATAACGGCGGTAAGCTTCAACTTCGCTTCCCGTCCAATGTTGTCACTTAGGGATAACAAAAGCACTGGAGCGTTGTCATATATCAGAGCTATTTTGCTTTTATTCATCTTGGCAATGTCGGTGCCGAAGAGAACTTCTACAGCGATTTCTCCGACAAAGCTGAGCTCGTAAAAGCTGCGTTACTGTGCGCCTCGGTACTGCTCGGTGATTCTCTCGTTGTGAGTTTCGCAAAGTGCCGCATTACACTCTTTGAACAAACAAATATCCCAGATCTATCGCCTGTGGATTATATGGGGACGACACCGGTACATTATCATATTCCCTATCTTCAGCCTTGCATGCACTTTCAGTGAGATTCTCAATCCACATCGAGTCATCGTTAATTGACGATTTTTGCGGAGTCGCTGGATTCGGCATCCTGTACGAATTTACGCAGAAATGAAATTGAAGGAGCTCAACTTAAGTTAATGCCGGTCTAGACCACAGCAGAACTCAAGTCCCACTGAACTTAAGTTCTGCCCTGCATGCGGTTGGCCTGTAAATGTGAGGACCACACCGCCTGGAACTTAAGTCCTGTACCACTGAAGTCCAGCAACACTTAAGTCCGGTCCAAACACTTAAGTCCTGTCCAAACACCAAAAACAAATCCACCCAGGGGATTCGAACACCAGACCTGCTAACTTTTCACCACTTTTCAATCTAGAAGGAGAAGGTGTTAACCACTACACCAGGAAGGAGATAGTACCACAAGCACATGGATACAATATTAGCCTTATTATGGCCTAAATCTTCTCCACTTTCTTTATTTTGCCTCTTCAGGTCCTGTGGCCAAACTACTATCCATAGATGATTAAAAGATTGATCTGTTTCAATAAATTAATCTATATAAAAAACATAATGAAAGATGACTGGAAATGACAAGTGAGTCAATACATATGCAGTACTTACCATGGCATTACCATGGTAGAAAGAGGGCATGGAAGGGAACTGATGGCAGTCTGATTTAGCACTTCAGGTATGGCTATCCTGGTGTAGTGGTTAACTCCTCATATCTTATTCTTTCGGAACTTGGAAGGTTGGCAGTTCAAATCTCTACAGTGGATTTTGTTTTTGTGTTTGATATAATTCTTGTTGCAATCACTTGAGTTCTCTATCAGTTAAGTCCTCTGGTGGTCTGGACCGCCTAGAACTTAAGATGAGCTAATAAGTATCTGCGCAGAAGGGGCCGAGACTTCGGGGTACCACCAATGTGCGGGCCCAGTCAGCACCCTGGATCGCAACGGGAATGATTCTCTCACCAATGTACTTGATTTTACTCGGTCCGTGAATCAACTACTAACACAGGCACCCTTAGAATCAATCTTTACAGTACAGGTATCTCTTCAAACATTTTAATGGATATCTTGGATATCTCAAGGATATCTGTCCTAGGTTTGATTATATTCCGCATCTGCAAAGTGACAGCAGCAATCAGATCGACATCGGACTCCCGCTTGATGGTATGTCCTTCATTTATGTATCTGCCAGCTTGTTAAATATACGGCGGAAGTATTTCCTCAACGTGTTGGTCGAAAGTGCTGCACTTCAGACGTACTGTATCCCAAACTTCTTCCACCTCAATGCTTTCCCTGAATCTGTGGGACCTTAGATTTTGGCTCGTCCTAGGCGCAATTACAATCTTTGGAAAATCGGACGCAGAATTTGCCGTCTCAGATACCTTCCCCGCTATTATCGGAATAGCCAACCTTCTGATTCATGCCCGAGTGGGCCTTGGATGGTCACACGATCAGACGTCCCCGTCTAAAGCAACAGGGAATTCCTGTGAAAGGGCTGTCGTCTGGTTCGTCCCTCGCGTTTTTACAAGGAGAATCAAAAGTCTCAAAACAAATTACAGAATAGTGAATCTTGGAAATATCAACTTTCCACGTATACTCTTACCCGGTACCAAAGGAGAATAATGGTTGCACGAAATACATTCTTGTGGTAGAAAACATGCCTTCTGTCGGCAATCACGAGAAACTGCTATATTCGGAAGTCCATCACCGGTCGCTGAAGCCCCTATTCGGCGGCAATAATGCACAACGTGGATTTCGCAACCTATTGGCCTCAGGTTGACTTTGAGGGAAGATTCGCAGTCTCAATAGGAAGTTTCAAATTGCATTTTCAGTGAAGATGGAGCACTCCTCCCGGATGACATTCCCCACCGTCCCAAATAGTCGGCTGGTTTCCCCCACCCAGTACAAACTGTGGCAAATCTTCCCGACTCTTGTGCTCCGCTGTCTCCATGAACCACTTCACCACCCAGTGCCGCATAGCATACTTGAACCACAAATAGAACCGCCACTTATACGCGGTAATCACGCGCGGGTTGACGTATATGCGCTCCAAGCCAAACAGGCGCCGAAGATCGTACGGGAGATTGAATGATTCTGAAGAGAAGCACTCGTCCGGGGAAGAGCTGCAGAATCGCAGAGGTGGAGCAGTGGCCGGTGTTTGGTTTGCGGGTCGTGGGTAGGCAGGATGTGTCGGGGATAACGGCGGCAATGGGGGCGCGGAGAGCCCTCCCCGCCGCATTTCTGTCGGAAGAAATGGTTCGGCCCTGATGCTGACGATCCCGTTCCAACAAGTGAAAACCGGCGCAGGCTCGTTCGCCATGACAGCCGCAAAGCCAGACTCCTCCGAGAAGTACGGCCACTGACCGGAGACAATGCGTCCGAGACGATCGCGTATCACCCAGATGTCGTATAGGCTAGGTGAGACTCCCGATCAGTGAAATGTTTGCAAGTCAGACGAGCATCTCACCCCCATTGTTGAAAGTCGAAGCCACACGCCATGTCGTATTCGCCACGGTTCGTTTCGAGTAGTTCGACAATGGATTCGGCCTCGACGAACACGTCGTTGCTGAAGATCACACGATCATATCCGCCGTGTACAGTCAGAGGTTCCAGGACGAGGTTCCGTGTCGCAGCGAGAAAGTCGATGCGCGGTGGGCCCTTAACCATCGAGGGTGGGCGGGTGACGGAGGTATCGTGAGTCAGAATGCGATTGGGGACACTCATTGCTTGGAGCTTGGTCTCGAACGCGCGCAGCAGGGCCGGACTGTCGTCCGAGCTATAAGATTCAACAATGGACACGAAGACATTGTCCTGTCAAAAACACGCTCGTTCAAGAGAAACAGAAAAAGAGGGGAGACTATAACGCACAGGACCAAGATAGTTTATTAATTTCGAGACCTCCGCTATCCAGTACGGAAGGACATAGGCATTATTGTAGAACATCGCCGCAATGAAAATCTTCTCTACCAAGGGATCAGTCCTGATTGGAGGTATAGGTTCAAACTGGCCGTACCCGCCGTTCCATATCCTTCACGTTTTGGTACACGGTTCGCCAGCTGTACCGTGGATTTGAATCGGTGGTCGATGGGCAGCTCGTGCGTGGAAAGCAGATATGCTCCGCAGAGGGTGGCGAAAAGATATACCGGCCATAGAGCGGTAGGCGGCCGACGATGTCGCTGACTTAGGTTAGCATTGGTGTCGAAGGTAAGGCAAGTGCAGAATACGCACTTTTTTCTCCGTTCCGGCCAGGAATTCGTTCGCCTCGCCGGCGAGCGGAACGTAATGCTCGCGATGGGGCCCCCAGATCCATAAGAAAGGTGGGGGTGCTCCGAAGCTCCGGACGAGATAAAAGATGCTCATGCAGAGCCCCCAGAGTGGTGTGGAGATTAGTGCAGCCACGAAGAATGTGCGCGGAAGAGGGAAGGCATACGGGAATCCGACACCGAGCGATATCAGTAGAACGAGGCAACATGTGGCGAAGATGAGCGTGAAACATAAGAGCGGGAGGGCGAAGTGAAAGCGGTGGACCAGTGTGCGTCGAAGCGAAACGTCGCTGGAGAATGGATCCAAACATTGAAATTTCCTGAACAGCGACGTGCGAACGGGACAAGTGGAGGACACAGAGGCAGTGTCCAGAAAAACAAGAAAGCCGTAAAGCCATCCCGTCCTGAAGATCGGGTCAACTAGCCTGCTGACAATAACGCGATGGATACCCGGGCTTATTCATTTCTTTACTTAGCTGACCTCGCTTGTACTCGTCGTGAGTTTGCATTGCCCCGAATTCATTCCAAGGCTGATGAAGTAACCTCACTTGAGCTATCACGCAAATAGGACAACCGCATGCAAATGGCCCACGCTGGGCCACGCACGTCGCAAAGAATTGAAGTACAGCATCTCCTGCTGCGCAGTATCAACTGAACCCGAAGAAACGGGCTTGTTGAGGCCGGAGAAATCCTAATTGGCGGACAAAAAGTTGGGTACAAGAGGGCGCAGGGTACCGGTATTGGCGCAGGGTACCGGTGTTGGCGCAGGGTACCGGTATTTGCGCAGGGTACTGGTATTGGCCAACCTTGCGCGCGAGCGTTGATAGCGGGCTGAACCGACTTTCGTAAAATGATCGCGTTTGATGGGCGTCCCATCGAAGTGAGACGGGACGCCCCGCAGGGGACCATCAGGTGCATCCCGTTGAACAACTGACAACTCCCACTCCACATACATGTTGGGTGAATGCCCAAAGGTTCGAGCGCCGTCGCTGGAGCAACGCGAACTTTGGATGATGTGGGTGTCGGCATCGAAGGCACAGCCCAAACTCGCTGCGAGAAGGAAGATGTTGATCGTTTCGAAGCTAGACGCAAGGATTGATTTTTCAATTGCTACCACCATGTCCACGAGCGAACAGCGACGGAAACCATTCAAGAAGAAGTCGACAGAGCACTGGAACTGTTGCCCAGTAATGCGAAGTACCCTCATCGTCCGATAAAAACGACGTGTTGACGGACAAGTACAGCCCGGGGCGCGCCAGCGCGCGGAGATCCTCGACAGTGGTTGACGAAAGACACTTCTTCGGTGTCGTCCAGATTATGAGGTGCCAAGGCGCAGCGGCCGTGGGGCATTCACTACCGCATCCCCACCGCAAGATTACCATGGCCACGAGGGGCCTCTGGTTGAAGGAACCATGGCCGCAAGAGCTCCAGTGTCGCGAGATTCGGCGCAAAACACGCGATGTGCGGAGGGCTGATGGTCATCCGTGCGATCTGTGCGTCGACGGCAGCGGCGCCGCCGTGGCTCATGTGGACACGCAGCGTGTCGAGGATTGGGCTCTTCTCAAGAATTTAGACAATGGTGGATGCCACAAGTGTACCGCGGACGATGGAAATAAGGATGTGCACGGGTCGCGGGTCTGGTGGGGGGGTAGGGGGGGTACGGGTCTAAGGGGTACGGGTACGGTGCTGGTTTTTTGAAACCCGTGAATACCGTGGACCCGTACCGCGGGTTGAGGGGTGCGGGACGGGTCTGGGATCAAAATTGTTCGGAACAGCTTTTTATCTTATCTCGCTTCTCGGCGATTTCGGATTGATGAATTCATCGTTTTCAAGCTTCGTAAATTTCGATTTTTCACGACGCTCATCATATTCTTTCTCCCAAGTGTCTTCCAAATATGTATCCGAAACAAGTTGCGTGCCAAAATGAACACGGTCCATATATTCGTCAGAAATATCCGGTGAGTTTCGTTGTGGGGGTGCGTCATACATACCAGCTTCTTCGGCGTAATTGATACATTCCAAAACTGTTAGGTGGGAAGCTGCCTTTCTCAAGGAGAATCGTTGTGAAATTTCTTCGAGATGTTCTAGAATCATTTCTTCGGTTACATCATCCCCAACAAAGTCATCCTCGGTTTCGCG